TATTTGCCCTTTATTTTTTCTCATAATAAAGTATCCTCAGGAATTGTTTACTGTTTTATACTTACCGAATAGAACTAGTTCATGTTCACCATTCCTGGCAGGTAACTGAGCACTGACACTTGGTGTATAAAGAAGTAGGTGAGGAAGTGCCCTGTTCTTCATGAGCACAGACTTAGTTACCATTGACACTTTGGCCAGAAGTATTTCTTACCTCACACAGAGGAAGTTGGAGATAGGAAACAGAGGGTATCGAGAATGTGCATAAGTCTTTGCTGGCTCCAAATGCTAATCTAGATTCAATATATGCATCCACAAGGAATTGTGCTTTAATCCAGACAAGTTAATGTGACGGGGACACAAACAACCAATCCTTGCTGGGTCTTTGTTTTCCCTTTAATTTTTAATGTTCTGCAATTGATATGCACTTCAATCTACCCTGGAATGTGCTTCTATTTATGAAACCCAAGTAAAAGAAGAATGAGATACAATAAAATGTAACCTCTTATGAATGTCACTACAAAAATGCATAGCTCATTTAGGCCAGAAAAGAGTTCAGTCCAATGGTCATCATAAATGCCACTCTCGCCAGGCATGGTGCTTCATACCTGTAATCCCAGCTACTTGGGAAGTGGAGGAGGTAGGAGAATCATGGTCCAATCTGGTCTGAGCATAAGCGCAAGACCCTATCTGAAAATCAAACTGCAAGCAGGACTGGGGTGTATGACTTAAGTAGTAGTAGATTGCTTGCCTAGCAAATGGAAGGTCTTGAGTTCAAGTCCTAGTACCACTAAAATAAATAAATAAGTAACCTCTCTTAAATGTGTTAACTTAATAAAATGCATTATTTGTATGAAGTTTTATTTAACACAATGAAGATTCTCAATCCCAATACACTTGCAGGAAGAAAATGCATTTGGATTGTTCATTGCTTCATGAGGAATAATATATTATAAAGGAAAGTTTAGACTAGGAGATGTCCACTGATGACAACCAAAGTCATATGTCCAGTAAGCCATGATTCCAAGACTAGAAACTGTCTTTGGTTGTGGTTGCTTGTGTCCTTTTACCATAAAACAATAAGGGGAAAGACTGTGTAACCTGGCAAAAATATCACTTGTGGGGAGGACACAGAAATGTTATCTGTTCCTGCCACCCAGAGGACCTAGGTGATGGGCAGAGACATGCAGCCGAGGACACTGACAATCCCCGATGTCAGCTTCTTGCATTTGCTGCCTATGGTTGAAAGTACTCACCTTTCATGAGAGTGGAAGAAAATTGGTATCAGTCCTTTTAGCCTTTTCCACGTGACTGCATCTTTATAAACTGCCTGGCAAAATCAAGTGGTTACATGGCTTCACAGACTTTGTGAAGCATCAAAGAAACGGAATGACTTAGGCAGGAGATCAAATAAGCTTCACTGTAGCTAAAGGCTTGCCCATTGAACCGCAAGCTGAGTGCGAATTGGCAAACCAGTTATTCTTAGTTTCCTTCTCGGCATTCGTAGTCTGAAATACCTTTCCTTACCTTTTGTCAAGGGGCCACCTTTTACTCATCGTCAAGATCTGTCTTAAAGCCACTTCATTGTCCTGAAAATCTCCCATCTTTGCTCTGGTTCTCCTCCCTCACCTCCAGAAACATTTCCTCCTTTATTTTTTCATTCCACACTGTCAGACTGTTTTGTCCTGTTTGTGCTTTCTTCCCCATTGTTTTTTGGAGCATATAATACACATGACTGCCATAATCCCCAACCAGATTATATACTTACCACTTTTTGTTTGTACTTCTACGCTGTGGAAAGATAGTACATATTGCATAGCGAATTTTCAATGTGAGAGCGATTTCTTTCAATGTGAGAGTGATTTCAATGAAATGCTCTTCATTTGGACTGAAAACAAAAGACTTTCTTCAATCTTTTAGGAGGGCAGTTTCTCTTTGTCTTATTAAAACATAAATTCCTACTTCGATCGACTTTCTACTGTCTGTTAATAAGATGCATTTATACCATCTCTGGGTTATATATTCTTTATTATATTTTAGAAGCCCCGAAGACAGAAATGATTACTCAATAGAAATACCACTTAAATGTATTCCATTCTCTGGGATTGGACTATGAGCACATGATAAAAGCCAGAGCACACAAGGGAGGGGTGAGGATAGGTAAGACACCTAAAAAACTAGCTAGCATTTGTTGCCCTTAACGCAGAGAAACTAAAGCAGATACCTTAAAGCAACTGAGGCCAATAGGAGAAGGGGACCAGGAACTAGAGAAAAGGTGAGATCAAAAAGAATTAACCTAGAAGGTAACACACATGCACAGGAAATCAATGTGAGTCAATGCCCTGTATAGCTATCCTTATCTCAACCAGCAAAAACCCTTGGTCCTTCCTATTATAGCTTATACTCTCTCTACAACAAAATTAGAAATAAGGGCAAAATAGTTTCTGCTGGGTATTGAGGGGGTGGGGGGCAGAGGGAGGGGGCGGAGTGGGTGGTAAGGGAGGGGGTGGGGGCAGGGGGGAGAAATGAACCAAGCCTTGTATGCACATATGAATAATAAAAGAAAAAAAAAATAAAAAGAAAAAGAAAGGGAAAGAATCTAAAAAAAAAAATTCCATTCTCCTTGATCCCCAAACACCTGGGACTCAGCTCTAAGCAGATCCATCTGTGCAGGGGAGAGAAGAGAGTCCTATTGAACATAGGACTGGAAGACACTCCTTTCACATCAACCACTGACTTCATCCTCTAAAAAGGATTTCACTTGCAGAGTTAGACAGGAATTCTTTTACTGCATCACTTCTAAGAACTGAAATTCACAGGGTTTTCTGAGGTACAGCATCAACCTCCTGTAGAGTTTGTACTTTTGTACATGTCCAATCCTTCAGTTGAACATACCTCAGACTGGATCACTTGAAAAGCATCATGGTTATTTAAATTCCACAATGCGCAATTCTAATGAAGATTATTGCTTAAATAAGTAAATGTTCTCAAATCAATTTAATTTGAGTTAAATTAGGCAAATGTACATTTTAAAATGTGTCTTGATTTTTAACAAAATATTCTACTACTATGTTCAAAGAAGGAAGTCTTACTGATGCAGGAAAAAAAAAGTGAACTTAAGCAAAACCCCAAAGGCTATCACTTCTATTTATTATCATTATATTCAGAGGATGAGCAGCTTGGTTAGATCCACGGAAACCTGACGACACTCAATAATTTCCAACATGAAGTACTCAATACTTTGTCTCCTCTTTTAATCACACCTATTCATGTGTTTTATATGTAAATCTGGAGAATAATCAGGATAACAGAAAATCTATAAGAGGGGAAGGAAAAGTACCAAACTTCCAAATGTCCACAGATAAAGAAAACCCTTTAAATAGGGACTCGCAATTACGTATTTGAAAATATCAGAGACACTGAAAATACATTCATGCTTGCTTCCATGTTCACTTCTTCCCATTTGCAGCATGGAGAGGCTGGAGTTGAATGTGTTTCATTTTAATAATCCAAGCTTAATTATAATACAACTCTTAATTCTGTTTTAAAGTTTCTGAGTTTTTTGGGGGATGAGGGTGCTACTTTGTCCCTGAATAAATGACAAAGTCATTAATTGCCAGTGACTATATGACCAAGAAAAGTAGGGCAAGGCTTTTAGTTTTAGTGAAACACATGCTCATTCATATATTATATATTGAAACAACATATTAAGGAAAATATTATTCCTACCAGGCTCATTTGTCTGCAGGTTGGATACACAGCACATTAAGCCCTTTCCTATGAGCAATATTAAGTGGAGTACTGACACAACTATTACACAGTTTGCAAGTCCTCACACTGCTCCTCACACTCAGTGCAGTCGTATGTCTCTTACATATGTGTTTTCAGTGCCCAATTCCCAGTTCGTTCAGTGTTTACAAATCACGCTGATCCCTGGGTTGGAACAAAGCTTCAGAAGCAATCAACTGCTCTTGCCATTCCAGGTGCCAAACACACACACAATGTCCTTTCATTTATGGAAATACACACAGATCTGTTCTGCATGCACTCAGAGCTCAACACAAATACCACCCCTTTCCCACAGGCAACAGGAAGGATGTGGTTTGAAGGACATGGTTGCTTCATCTGAATGCTGAATGTGCAGTTGTTCTTCAAAGACCTCTTGTTTTTACCCATTTTAGAAGATACAACTCAGCCAAAATGACCCAAATCCCACTTTAATTTACCTATAATTGGCATTCAAGTAGATCATTGGTTCTCCTTTCCCCTTACCTTTGATGGAGACATGCTAAAAGTTCATAATCCAAAGACATTTCAGTGAGCATTTGACCTAGTAATTCCTTTTGTATATAGGTCAGCTGCAACCACACGACACTAAAATCTCCAGATGAAATGGTCAGAATTACCCAGTGGCTTGATAAAATCAGCTTACTTGGAGTTTAATCCAGGGATAAATATACAGAAAGCTCCAAGCAGTAGAAACCGTAAACATTATAGAACTGTCTCCTGAAACTGAAATACTGGCAGGTCCCTCACTGCCAGCAAAGCAAATATTTGCAGAATTATCTTGGTTTTACCTGAATGCAAATGTGGGCTCAATAACCACAAGCTACTGTTTAAAGTGGAGAATTTTAACACACAGCACAAGAGACTCATCAAACTCCCTCCACTGTCCCCTCCCCCCAAACGCAACTGTACACTCAGCAGAAGCAAACCTGGTCACTGAGTCCACATATCCTGCATTCCTGGAGCTCTCCTGCTTCTTAATATTTCAGAAATACTCAAGATCTGACTCTGAACGCCTCTTCCACGGCCCCACACACTCCCAGTTTCTCTTTAATGCTTGAGTCAACTCCTCTCCCAGGGAGAGGATCTCCCATTTGGAGTCTAGCTTCTTGCACTGGCCAAGTAGCCCAACCAAACCCAGTATTTATGAGGTTCCAATAAATATTTAAGATTTTCAACTATGCAGACTAAAAGTGTTTTTATGCCCTCACACCTACCTGAGGAAAAGACAATGACCTCTTCAGCTTTGCACACAAAGTTGATTCCTCTTTAGGATTCTCCTCTGAAGTCCTAGTTCATAAGAATGTGTAACTTAAGAGCTTTGGCAACAACAGGGTAAGTAAACTGCGTTCAGGAGTTACTTCTGAATTCCTTCCAGGTTGTTCTTTCCTTGTGTGTTCTCTAATTACTTCTCATTTTTACTAATCAGTTGTAGTATGTGTGATCTATGAGGCTCCTTAGAACTATGGAGGTGGGGATCAAGGAAAAGAAGAATGGAAATTTATTGGAAGTATTTTATTGGTAACACTCAACTAGAAATACCATGTCTGAGGAATTGTACACAACTCCATGCACCAGGTGGAATATTACTCCAAACCCAGTATATTATGTAAACGTCTGCATTTTCTTCCCCAAGTAGAAACAAATAGCTCTTGCTGAAATAAATGTCTGTGCCCTGGTGCTTTAGAAGTTCCTATTGGACTCTGCAATGCCAGGAACATTTCACTCTGTGTCATGCTTCACATTGAGAGGTTTGTGTAACTCTTATGTAAACCTTGGTCTCAAGACACATTCCAAAGCTGAATTTATTTCAAATTCCAAACTGAGTGTCTTCCATTCCACTCACTTAAAATTCCAGTTGTGATTGGAAAATACACACTTCATTAACCTTCTGTGCAGTGTTCAATGAACCCTTGTCATGTTTCACCCTGGTAGACTGCATCGCAATCCTCGGTGTGTCTGGATGTCAGTTGATTAAAGCTTTGCTATTATTTTAAGGGATGTTTTAACCCTTGCTCTTATCTTTTTTCACATTTTTTGATACTGTAACATGAGAATTCTGGCAAAATAATATGATGCTTGCTACTCTTTCCCCTACACCTATACCATTTACTTGTCAGCAAACAAAATCGTGTTTCAGATGAAGTAAAAAGGCCAAGAACTCAACTTCCCTGTGGTGTTTTATCTACCACTTTCTGGACATTGACATGACATAAAACAAAGTCACCTGATAAACAGCTGGAGCTAAACACAGATTACTACCATTTGCTAGAGCAGGACAAAGTCACCTCGGGACATGGCTTCAAGAAATGCCAATTCTCAAGGAAGAAGGATAAAAACCCAAGGAAGGGAGCTGGTTCTTCGTTGTGGGTGAATTTCCTGAACGGGGGTAAGCCAGAATGACAGGTAGCTTAAAAGAAAAAACCGTATCTTGAGAAAGCAAAGGACATAAGCCCTCACCAACTCCAGATTTTTGCCACTCCAGGATGTTGTCAAATAGATTACTGCTCAGAACTGAAGAAATGCAACTGTTGTCCCTAACTGATTGATAACAATCAACTGTCACATTAGTCCTTGGTTCCTAAAGAGACAATGATGAAAATGTGTGTGTGTGTCTATTCTTCTGCCCGGTATTAAGATTTTCCAATGGTGTTGGAATTGTCTGTTAAGAAAAATATTTCAATTTCTGCCACAGAAATGGTGGCAACACCACCCCATGATAGAGTCATGGCCAGCATGGTGCTTGTTATTCAATAGGTTCTGTTCTGGTCCTTCCCGATGCCAGCACAATGCATTCAATTCAACCTGCTTCTTTCAAGGCCCGTAACTACCCAAGGTCACTTGGTCTGCAGGGTTGCAGTTTTAATACACACAGCAGCTTCATTCAGGCTCTCAATCTTTTGCAGTTGAGGAATAAACCCAAAATGATAGCTGAGAAGCTCACAATTCTCAAATTTGACATTTGAACTTCTTTTTTTGAAAGATGTACTCATGGTATTGTTTTTCAAGCAATAAATGAAAAATGGACAGGAAGGTAAAGCAGTTACTGTCCAGAGGTTGGGGCCAATGGGAGGAGGGAGGAAGTGGAGAGGGTGAAGGAGGCAAATATGGTGGATGCATTGTGTATCCGTGTATGCAAACAGAACAATGAAACCTGCTGAAATTGTTCTAAGGGGAGGGAGTAAAGGGAAATGAGGGAAAATGATAGAGGGGGTGAGTCTAATTAATGCAGATTGTAAGCACATATATAAATGTCACAGTGAGTTCCCCCCACCCCGCCCCCTGTACAACTGTTATATACTAATTAAAAAAACTAAAAAGAAAAAGAAACACAACTGGAAAGCAATGAAAGGGATTAAGAAAATCCATGTTTTTCTGGCATTGTTTTAGTTATTATTCATTAATGTGTCATCTCATAGCCATATTTGGGAATGTATACTCTTTATATATGCTTGTATGAATAATTAAAATGAAAACAAATCAACAAATCGAAACCAAGCCAAACAAACACATACATGTAGGAGCATACCAAAACCACCTTGTACATTCTCATCTTGAGATTATGCCATGTCTTCCTGTACCTCAGCTGCATCTGCTAATGTTTTCTGAAGTGAGGTCTTCTGCCCTTCTCCTTTCCTCTTCCCTCTTCCCTCTTCCCTCTCCCTCTCCCTCTTCTTTTAATCCCCTTGTCTTGGAATACATGGGCTAGTGTTCTGCATTACCAACTTAAAATGTTCTTTCTTTACTCTTTTGCCAAAGGGCTTTCTTCTGAGATGCACCCTCTTCAGTTATACCTCATTTCTCTCTGCAAATGGCTATAATCCCAGTCAGCCCTCCTACATTTTAGACTCATCTTCATATCCAATCTATGATCATGGGTGGCTTCGATGTCCTTTTGGATAACCATCTGAATCCCTGCCTCACAGTTCCCTGACAGCTCACTGTGATGATCTTCACCTCCTCTCTGCCTTAGACAGTCACATCCATAGCCACTCAAAATTTTGTATTTCTATCCTCTATGCTGTTCACTCTGGGATATCACACCTAACCATGTTTCAGCTTTCTTAACTGTTTATTTGTACTACATTTTTTATAGCAACATTTTCAGACTTGGTATCTCTTAAAAGTAGTACTTTACTTCTAAAAATTCCCTCTGCTCCTTTTTTTTTGGTAGTACTGGGCTTTGAACTCAGGGCCTTATGTCTGCAAGGCAGGTGCTCTACCACTTGAACCACTTCGCTAGCCCTGTCTTAACTTTTGTTGCTTCCTTCAACCTAGACACCATGGCCAATCACTTCAAACATCCTCTTGTCAATTCTCATTGCTCCCTGAATTCCTGTTATCCTTCCACATTCTTCTGAGAAAATTCAGTCTAAAATACTCTGACCATTTTGCTTCTATTCTCCTGTAAATGTATTGCTAAGTTCTATGTAAGTCTTTGTGAGTCTGTGGATGGGTGCTGGTGCAAACCCTTAGTCTTCAACATGCCTGGGACCCCAACATTGTGCAGCTCCCCAGCTCCTTTTCCTTCAGGCTTTAATTGTTCCTTCCAATTTTGTCCCCCAGCCCTGACTTCCACACTCTCAGAAAAGCCCTCATGTCTTTATTTCCAAGAAAAGTAGCCCATGAGGTGAGAATTCACTTAACTACCTCTCTTCATTTTGAATTTACCTCAACCTAACTGTTAGCCAATTCATCAGAAGAGGAATTTCTTCTCTTACTTAACACCACTCTTTCCTCTGTACTCTGGGTCCTACTTCTCCCCCATTTGCTCTGTTAGCTGGCTTGTTTCTCACATCACCTTTGCCCCCGCCCATTCCATTGCCTTCTGTGCTGCATGGCCCCAGAGTTGGTGGCCAATTCTAGGTTTCTCAAGCCTGCATTCACTAAGGTCACATTGACAACTTGATTTCAGCTATGGCCAGAGTGTTTACACATGCTCATCTGCAAAAGTTGCAAGTCAGGATTTCTGCTCCAGAGTCCTGGTTTATTAGAACACCACTGCATGCAAGCTTGCTCAAAGCATCATGAATAAAAACAAGGACAAAAGCCTTGCATAGAGCCTCCTTCTTCTTTTAGCCATATCGCCCTTTCCTTTTCTTTCCCTGTTCTCACAGTTAATTAATTAATTAATTCATTGGCACTGAAGTTTGAACTTGGAACCTTTCACTTAGGAAGGTGTTCTACCACTTGAGCCTCACCCAGCACTTTTTGCTTGGGTGTTGCATTTTTGCCTATGGCTGATCTCAGACTACAAACTTCCCACCTTTGTCACCCACCTAGCTAGGATTGCAGGCATGCAATACCACACCACTACCACACCTGATTTCTTGGTTGAGATAGGGTCTCGCTAACTTTTTACCTCAACTGGCTGGAACAATAATCTTCCTATCTCTGCCTCCCAGGTAGTTGGAATTACAGGCATGAGCTGCCATGCTTGGTTTGTTCTTACTATTTAAGATGTTGAGTGCGCTCAATCATTTGCTCCTAACCCATCTACACATGTCTTCAATAATACTAGTTCTTCATTGAAGCTGATATTTCCAAGGTAATTGGTAACTGCGAGTTGGTAACTATAGTAGATGCCTTTTCAGTTTTTTACTAACTTAATCTGTGGTGTTTAATACTGCTGGCCACTTCATCCTTATAATTTGCTCTTGCCCTGGCTTGAAGATATCAAAATTTCAATTTCCTCTTACTTTCCTCACAGTTCCTTCTCAACTTCCTTTTCAAGGACTTTTCATTTGGCCATTTTTTCACAAGCTCTTCTCTCTTTCTCTCTCTCTCTCTTTCTTCCTCCCTCTCTCTCTTTCTCTGTTATGCACCACCTCAAACATTTGAGTCTCGCTCCATAGCCAGTGGCTTACATTGTTGGCAAGATCTCGATCATTCACAAAGCCATCCATCTCTCTCACAGTTCCTTCATATGCTGTAGTTAGCATTACCGCTGTCCGTTTAGACGGTTCAAGACACCAGGGACCTCAGACACAAACAGCACCTCCCATGAGATGCCTCCTATACTGGTCCTGCCTCCCAGTCTTTTCTTTACAATTTAGCTGAACTGATATTTACAAGCATATTTTTCATCATGGGATCCCTGGCTTTAACACACTGTGGTTTCTTTCCTTCCTCTAGAGCTACCTCTGCACCTTTCTGTGCTGTGTGTGTAAATTCCGTCCTTTCTGTACTCTCTCAGTCCTGTGCCCTCATTCCTCTCCACGATAGGGCCTTGTGACTCTGCTTTTCCTTTCTCTCCTAGATAATTCTGACTTACTGTTCTGATCTCAGTTTCCACAAAGAAACTATCCCTGGGTATTCCTGACCAGGTTAACCGCCCCCCCCATTACAAATTCTTGTGCATTGCTTGTTAGGTATGTACAGATGACTTCCCATGAAATATAAGAGGGATCTATCATTCTTACACTACTAGTTTAGACAGTGG